TGGAGTTTCTAAACACAGCCATGTAGAGAGTGGTCAGATAACAACTGCTCACAGTCCATTATAAGTTGCATAAGCACCACTGCTCAATCCAACGGGAGGAGCACAGCAGAGACAAAAAGTTCAAAGAGCTGGTGTCGAGGGCCGAAAATGGCGATTACGCGGGCACCGTTTTCATCGACGACAAAATTCCTCACATGGAGCGGAGCTACAATCTTCAAACTCCGAGGATGCCCGCATGAGGTCTTGAGGAAGTCAGTGAGAGTGAAAGGAATATTCGCCACAAGCAGCAGCCGAACCTTATCATGGTCTGGACGGGGGTCTCAACTACCGGTCGCTCACCATCACTGCCTGTTTACAAAGGAATACAACTTGATACTAGACCGAGCCAAGGGACATTTCGTTCTAGCCACTTTGAGGAGGGGTGATGATCTTTTCAATAGGACCCAGCTTCTGCATAGGAGGCAAAAATTGTTCAGGAGCGCTGTTAGGCACTCTTTCCGATTTCACATCCTCGAACGAATGGCTCTCCTATCCCTTGATTTCAGCGTGCTGGACCATCCTATGTGGGCTATGTTAGAGGGCAGAGCCTGCACTAAACATTGCATCCACATGGATGAGCCGGAGCCTTTTCTCTGCAAAGTTTCGAAGAGAACACCCCACGATGCCATGCGAGGGGAGCAGACCGAGTGAAGGTCTTTCCTTTCATTATGCAAATGTATGACTAAAAATATTGCATAACCTCTTGAGGATACCAACTTCGTAACTTCTCTTCTTCTTCTCCCTAGCGTCCCGCGCAGTCGCAGGGTCCGCTGTCTTTATCAGTCGTCGCCACTTCGCTCTGTCTGGGGCATCTTCCGCGGGTCCGTGATCACTTCGGTCCCTTCGGATCTTCCACCTCTCTTAGACGCCTCGCGGTCGGCTTGCCTCGCCTCTTCGAAATCCATGCTTCCTTATTGGTGTCGTTGTGGCCCTCCTAGCCTACCATCTCAGACGCGCTGCCCGTACCGTTCGCTGGATAGGGCAGTCGCATGACCGCTCTGACTCCTCGTTCTGAACCCTGTCCATATCGACAATCCATACCCCCGTCGCATCTCCAGGCATCCTCATCTCAGCGGAGTGCAGCTGCCTTTCGTGATTCTTGTTCAGGGGCCAGCACTCGCTGCCGTATAGCATCGCAGGCCTCACCACTGCCCGATACACCTTTCCTTTCAGTGTTCTGGAGCACCTTCGATCGCAGAGGATTCCCAGTGGACTCCCTCCACTTCATCCAGAGCCGCGTTGATTCGTGCCTCACGTCATCTCACGATTTAGGCACTTTGACAGAAGTTACAAGTGATGAAAAGTGGAGCAGTTTTTATGGGACACCCTGTATTTTAGCTCCCCTCACTAGTTTCAACATGTCTGCTGTGCAGGTTTTTGGGTGCTGTGATTATTCTCCAATGTCTTGTGAAAAAGAAAATGCCTAAATCGATGAGATGACGTGAGCGCTATTCCTGGGAAAATAGTCAATGGTTTATCATGATGTCGCTATCGTATACCATGATGATATATCAAAATATTCAACCAGGCGTTGTTGAAAACAGTGTCCCTTGCTAACGATCTTCTTCTAGTGCGTTGTAATTTATTGATCTGAAATGTACAGATTGGGCTCACCTTTCTTGATTTTCAAGGTAAGAGTTGAGCAACGATGTTTTCGCATTTGTAAGTGTGACCTCTTATTCAATTCGCTAAACTTCAGCTTTTTTTTGAATTTTTCGGAATATTTCGTACTGAATTTCAAATTGTCCATTAAAGCGGTGGAAAGAATGCTACGCGAAGTAATATGATTGGCGCCCTAGATGCTCATTAAACAGCTCACCGCTATAATTCACTACTCCAAGCGGCTTCAAAGCGATGATCCAATCGTGCTTAAATATGTGCTGCCTCGATAGACTGTGCGAGCTAAACATTCTAGAAAGGTTATGCTGCTCACCACTGCCGTTCACTGATGGTTAATTTAGGTGCTCAGCTCGTCACAGTCTACTTCGAACTCATCTGGAGCCAAATATGGTAGTGGTTCTGGAAAAACGGATTGGATCCATCCCCCAGGTAAGCAGGATAAACGCTTCGAAAGGAGTCTGAAATAAGAACTCCCATATTCATGGTCATATCCCTGACACAATTCTTCCGCAGTCACTTACGTGGTAGCTGCGGAACGTATGGTTCATCTTACGTGCCCGCCAATATCTTGTGATTTGTTTGCCTATAAATATTGATGCAGTCTCATATCACGAAAAACAGTAAATTTCCAGTTGATTCTACTTTTTTCAAAAATTAAGCAATTGTTCCTTATCAGTAAAAAGGACGCACAGATATCAAAACAGTAGTTTGTCGTTGGAAAAACTCGTGGAACTGAATTCCATATGATTTTCGATGTACTACTGAATGGTCGCGTCGAGTACAGCGTCAAGTTCTTCGGTTCCCAGGAAGTCAAAGAAGCTAAAGGTACAAAAGCGATACGCGACGCGATCCATGCAATACAGTTTCAAAATGGGGTGAGGTCATTTTTTGTTAGCTCCGAAGTTCAGGTTCCTTTTTTCGAATTATTTATATTTGAAGGTGAAACGTTTTGAATCCACACAAGCAGGAGCTAAACTTCAAAAAGTTGACATTCAAATCAATGTGGAAGGGGTTACGATAGTCGACTACAAGACGAAGATGGCACTTCATCGCTATCCCCTTCAGAAGATATCGTTTTGTGCCGACGACAAGCAGGTGCAGCTTTTTATCTTTTCTGCTTTGTGCTATTCTTCCAGATAAAGCCTACTTTCCATTTTCTTTTTGTTGAGATTTTTGCTACTTTTCAAACAAGGCCAAAATGTTGCGTTGGTCTTATTCCGGTTTTTGTTTTTTCAGGACAAACGTATTTTCTCGTTTATCGCGAAGTCACAATCAGATCCGGACAAGCATGAGTGCTTCGTATTTCTTAGTGATAAGATGGCTGAACAAATCACATTGACTGTGGGGGAGGCGTTCGATTTGGCGTATAAGGTGAGTCACCGCAATCTCATTTCCTTTTTCACCTTTCACTTTCCGAAGTAAACCAGAGTTTGACAATTGAACCCAGTGCTCATATGTTGTGATCCTCCAGCCATCGAAATGGTTAGGAGGGTGTGGTGTTGATGTGCAAAGCTAGGGGGTCGGTGAGAAGGCCTGAAAGAGGAGTACAGTTAACTTCGGATCGTATATAATGCACTCTATGCGCACGGCAGGTGCACAGTTGTGGAATTCTTCAGCGTTCTGAATTGAAAAACTATTTCTTCAAGATCTTATTTCAGAGGTACTTGGACAAGAACAGAACTTCGCTGGAGAATCAGAAGCAGGTACTATCTCTAGAAATCGATTAATTATGCTGTAATTTAGATACTTTACAACTTTACAACCAGTTTTTTTCTTTGAATTGCGGTGTTGTCTGCATTTTCATCCGTATGTCGTTCATAAACCACGTAATCTTGTCCTTCCATAAAAGTTTTATTTCTAGGCTTTTCTAGGTTTTTCTGGGCTATTTCTGGGATAATTTGTTAGATAAGGTGTAGGAAATTTGTGTGCAGTTTTGCTGGAATTGAATGCCTTGACACATTAGAACGATCTATCTTCTGCGTGCTCAATTTAGCAGATGGAATGGGTTGCGGTTCCTATCCATTCCGCGTGGGTGTACTTTTCGCACTGCTTAACCAGATAGGATGCGTAGTTGAAGGTCTTCACCGGTATGCCAAGGCTATTTCGCGCATCCACTACCCTTTAGAATATGTAAATTGTCGGCATAGGAAAGAGAATGAGAAAACTACTGTAGAAGCTCTACTGTTTGCTCAAGGTGCACCTTATTTTGCCATGCAGCTTCTGCCACTGCTGATTTGGCATTTCCTGCTTTGTGACATTTTTTACGGATCACTGAAAAGAGCACGGTTACGTAAGTAAACGGTAAACAGAACTGTAATTAAGATTACGTGGACTTCATTGGCTGGGATTTCTGTACGAAGTTGAAATTATTCATAATGTGACTTAATCTCATACGAAATCCTTGATTAAATGATATTCAAAGTGATGAATCGTTGCTGTTTCCTTAATTAGTCGCTATTTTAGGTGTTCGTCCTTCGAAAAAGAATAGCTGAATTGGAGGCCGAAAATCAAGTGCTCAGTCAACGGCTGGCTGAAGCGATTAGAGCAAATAAAACTCCGCAGGTGTGTCAATTAATGCCTGATAATTTATGCTGCTACTACGTTCTTTTGACGTTGTAGGTTTGTAAGGAATTCGCGATTATTGCAATAGTTATTTCTGCAGCTATCACTTCTCGACACACCTGCTTTACCATCAACTCCAATGCCATCTGGTCCACCTCCGGGATTAGTGCAGAATGTAAGCAGGTTTTGCAGCATTTTTTGTTTTACATGAAAATGCATTCGCTGAGAATTTGGTTCTCAACAAAAGCCTTTTGTTCTTATGGCGTAGTTAAATCCATTCCATGAAAAGCTGGCTCTAAGCGGAATTTATTCTCTTCTGTGATTTGACTATGACTGCTAAGGATTTTTGTGCCTATTCTTCATCATTTCAAAATCCATGTTTTCGAAATTTAGTCCATAACTGTCGACAAAAATGATGCACTCTGAGCGTTTTAAACTTCTCTCCTGTAATCGTAGCTTATATACTTTATTTTGTGTATGTCAAGTAGCGTGAATAGTGTCAGTATTTTGTTGTTTAAAGGCTGTCTATTCTACACCTCACAACACACAAGTGCTGCCGAACGATCCTTTCATTGGCCTTGTCACTGCTCCATCCGAGTTCGCACCGACTGTTAATACTAACACTCAGCTTAATGGTAAGGTTTTCATTCTTTTTTTGTTGTTTAGCGATATTTATTGTCTGCCTTCAGGCCATAACATTCCACAAACCGTTAGCTACTCACCATCGGGACCGGCTCCATCGCTTGCTCCACCTCCATGTCCCGTTCCGACACTCGCTCCTCCCCCACCTGTTGCCCCACGCAGGAATCCACCTGCTCGTGCGAACACAGTGCCTGCTCCAGAGGTAAATGAATCCATAATTCGACTTTTTGTTTCCACATATTTTACTAAAGTATGATACCACTTCAGGTCGGTCGAAGACTTCAAAACTTACAGTTGGACAATATGGAGGATGTATTCGATGACAACTTTGATCCTCGTGCGAATAACAAATCGAAGGAGAACAAGGAGTATGGTAGGTGTAGTTGAAATGCGGCTCGCTGTTGGACAAAAAACTGGATAATTCCATCACCATCAAACGTGCAAAACGAAGCGAATACGGGGATTTCACTGGTAGAACCCTGAAATCGGAGTCGGTTTTAGTTTACCTACACAAAATTCTTGACTTTGCAAGATTGCCAGACTCAAATATTTCAAACAAATTTTTTTATACCGAAACTGTGCGTACCAGATAGATCATATGCTGATTACGACGTTGAATGTTGATTGTGACGCCTTGTGCGGGAGTACGCTGTGTCGCCATTGTGGGCTCGCCAGTGAGGAAGGATAGATAGCCATGCCCCCAAGAAGCAGAGCTTTACGTACATCCGGGTATGGGATTGCCAGGGGCCGTATACACCATTCCGTGAAAATAGCAGGAGATCTCAAATTTTCTTTATTTTCCCAAGCAAACTGTCTTAAGAAGAGCCATCCCAAGGTATGGTCCAAGAAACCCAAAGGCTCGTGCTAAAGTAAAGAAACTGTTCTTCAAAAACATTTTGTGAGGAATTTCATTCCAATCCCTACCCGGGATTGTTTTTCGGTAATCTTTGGCTGAGCATGTTATATTGTAGAACTACAAGGAGCTTAAAAGTTTTCAGATCCGTTCGGTGATGATTTCCTCGACAATGTTCTGCGACTTGGCGACGAGGCAGGACGCTCAACAATGGCACAAATTGATGCAGCGCAACCCACAGCGGCAGACTTCCAAAAGATGATCGACAAAGTTGATAAAAGGTAAGGCAATACGGTTTGCAAGATTTCGCTGGAATCGGGTCATTGCACTTGGTTGTAACCAGCGTAGTGTCTACCACTGTGTTAGTGTCTACACTGTGTTTCCTTGGTTCTGGAAGTTACATTAAGTGCCGCAGTGGATTAAGTGGATCCATTTATGTTACAGTCATCGTATTATGTGCTTCTCATTCAGGCTAGCCGAGATGTCAACGGGCTTTTCCGAAGGACATCTGGAGATGGGCCAAGTGTCCCCAGGTGAATCGCTTGGTGACTTGGAGGAGAACGAGTATGGAACACCGGTGGATAAAGTGAACAGTGTTGTGATGACGGGTAAAAAAGCCTAGTTTTGATTTCTAGTTATTGTAGTGCTGAGCTTGATTTCCCTTATACCAATGAGGTCCTGGTCCCAATATACTCTGCTGATTTCATTGAACTACGCATTTTTCATAACTCTGCATTCTGCATGGGGCCAGGATTTTGATATTACGATGCATTTGCTAATCTGATTGTGATATAATATTTATAAGCCTTCGTTAAGAAACATGTTCGCTTAAAATTTACTTACACTTACATTGCATTTACTGTTGTAACATTTCTGTTAGCTGCATGTTGCTCCTGCGGCACAGTGAGCGTTTTCGAACAGTTCACTTCTTTTCTCGGCCCTAGAACGGATCAGAGAAGCGTAAAATTCATCTCTCTTCGACTTGCTCAAAAATAGCTGCCCGGGCATTTAATATTGATTTTTTGAGCTTTATAGACTTTCGAACTATTCGACTTCAATTCAAAATGTAAGTTTGTCTAAGCAGCAACCACTTTGTTATGAATAAGCTGGATTGTTCTTTCTTGAAATAGGGTAAACCAAACGATTTAAAATAACTCTGAGAGTTGCATCCAAATCCGATTGTTGCAGGAAAATCAGAAAGAATTCATAACAAACTTTGATGATTTTAAACTCCGAATAGTGAATTGAGAACTGAAAAATTAATTGAGATAATCAGTAGTCGCAGTAGAACTGAGGCGGAGCAATTAAAGCTGTTCAGGAGCCGTTCTCTGAGCGCGTATTGCTACCGTGCATAGAATTTTGTGCTTCTCTTCCTTCTTGGAATATGTGTTCTTCTGATTCGAGCTACCCCACGTAGTCTGTACATTGCTACAGCGCGCGGGTTAGCCGAAGTGGTTTGTCGGGTTTTGTGCCGACATTTCCGGATATACTGTCCTTGGTACTGTGAGCAATGCGAATTCTACTTAATTGTCTTCAATTAGTGTTTTGATAAGGTAGGTAGGCAGAATAAACACAAATTGAACTGTAAGTATTTTGTAGTATTGGACACTGGTGTTCAGTGTCTGTGACATGTGTGTAGTGTAAAGTGTGCCTTTTCATTCCTGTGCGACGATTTATCAGGTTGTATTATGCATAATTTGATGTGATATTTACAGTTTTTTCGGAATATAAATAGTATTTGTTTGTAGAAAACGAATTTTTCTTGTAAGGTGAGTAAATCAGTCCCTTTGTGTTTCGGCGAAAAAAAGGCTAGAACTATCACAATGGAGGTGGTTCGTTTTCTGTTGTCCAATTAAGGTCAAGGGAGTCCTCGACAAGGATGCCTATGCACAGGTTTAGCGTGAGCACCTGGTAGGTAACGTACGTCAGCAATGACGTTTGTCTCCCTGTTTAGAGTCAATGAGAGATTGTCTTGGTTGGCTGACGGGTTGCTTGTGTGTTGGGTGCGCTGAATACTGCTCAAAACCAACCAGTTGTACTTCACTGAACGCACACCTCAGTGCCAGATACCGAGAGATTATGTCCAATAACAGTATGAAGTGAATATAAATAATCTAAAAGAATCTTCCACGGATCATGGACCAGTGGGCGGGACCGGAAGTTTTTGTGACGAAATGCATGGTAGGTACGGATCCACGTGTCGAACGCACGAACGTGAACAGGATTCACTTCAAACCTTCCCATGAACGTGGATCCGTACCTACCATGCATTTCGTCGCAAAACCACTTCCGGTCCCGCCCACTGGTCCATGGTCCCGGTGGAAATTCCTTAAGTATGAATGTTTGACGCCTATAGCTAGCTATTATAACAAATAGTGTAAGTGGGAAACTCCAGCCACATCACCAATGCGCAATACGGGGACAGTATGGCATTCAAATATGAGTGAAAATGTTGTTTGGGGTGGTGGACGGGAGGGTATTCATAATATCTAGCTAAAGTGACAGTATCTAATCAAATTGGTGGGGCAATCATATCCAATCACATCCAGGCATAGGCTCGAGTGTAGTTGACATTAGGAATAGGCGATACCTCTCAGGTAAGGTGTGTCCGACAATGGCGGTTAGAGAGACAAAATTGAGATCTTCAACGCTACGATCATTGTTAGCGTTCCCCTGTCTGGTGACGTTGCGCGGACATCCACAGTAAGGGCACGTTCTTCCCTTCCATAGCGATACTAGATCGGCCGACCAGTTGTCAAAAAAATATCTACTTTCGACATAACCCCCTACCGTTCAGCAACTTAATAACCAATAAGCGAAATGTGCGCAAGAGTCAGCTCAAAGTAAGATCAACAATTTCGAATAACTACTTACTTCACTTACTTACTTACTCTCGATCGCTATTATTCGTCCCGGGCACGCCAGAAACGCAGGTCGCACATCTTCCAGGTCGCTCTGCTTCGGGCTCTTCTGCGCCACAACTGGCCGTACATCTTCACGAGAGGGTCTGCCCATCTGGTGGGGGGTCTGCCTCTGGGCCTTGTTTTTCCCCTTGGGTACCAGTCAGTCACTCTCTTCGTCCAGCGATCATCGGTAAGTCTAGCCACATGACCGGCCCACCTCCGCTTGGAATTATAGATGGCATCGACGACGTCCTTCACCATCGTACGAGCGCGGATGGTGTCATTGGGTATGCGGTCTCGGAGCGTTACCCCGCACATGGCCCTCTCCAATGGCTTCGAGTAAACTAACGGTAAAAGTAAATATGTTGCCGTTCTGTACAACAGTCGAGTGCGTGGCGCGCCCCACAAAGAAATGGGTCGACATTGAGCGCTTCCAAGCGATGAATTTTAATCGAATGCTGGGTCCTAGGAGCATTTCAAGGGTTGGACAGAACGTCATGCAAAGTGCTGGATGAATTGATTTGTCACAGTGAAAGGAGAATTTCACGTTTCCTCACCGTTCAGGGCAATATTACAGGAATTATTACTGTGCTATCGAAAGGAACGTGAATGTCATTCAACTTTTCCCTGTCAACATTGCAATTTCATGACCAAGTTCGTAGCATGCTAGAAAGGGTTTCCGCTTATTTGAATATACTGCTTACCGCTTTTCAAAAAAAAAAACATTTTGAAGGAAGGTACCCCTGCGGTTAGGAAGGGTCAGAATTTCCAATTTTTACCTTTTTGAGGACGGGAGGGGAGGCTACATAGAGCCTCCAAATTTCACATGTACTTGAATCCAAGCACAACTCCCTCCTATAATATTTCCATTTGTTTCTTGAAAAAATATCACAAAGATAGACCAAATTTATCAGAGCAACGTAAATTACAACGGGACAACTATCACACTTTCGAAAAAAAAAATACAGAGAAGCGAATCTATGGCAATTCATACAATTTCACAGAGAATGAGGAAAGTGTGGGTACTGGAAGAACGTTTTTATAAAGGCTAGAATTTCATTTCAAAGGACTTGCACTTAGCTAAAAAGCAGCTCTTTGATAGTGACCACCCCAAAAGCTACGTAGCTGTCGGCCAAGCCCGTCTGCGGCGGACGAAAATACTCGTCGTCTGATGTCTCGGGTACCCCCCAGGAGGCCCGTCGCGCGGCAAGAAGGCAGAGTCGGCGGACGAGTTGCAGCGCGTGGTGTGCGATGTAGGACGTGCAGTGGGACACTCTATTTAACTTGACGCGAAATCCCTAAGTACGCGCGCGACTCGTCCGCTGACTTTGCCTTCTTGCCGCGCGACGGGCCTCCTGGGGGTATCCGACGATGTCTCTGCCGGTACCTCACCACAATCTGCCGACACTACACAATAAAGTTACGTTCGGAGCAAGCGAGACAGCTCAAAAATCTTATACCAACTAACCAGGAAGGTCTTTCAGGACATGGAGCCCTTTTTGAAAACGGTTTTTTGCATGATAAAGGGGCACATGCATGGAGTACAAAACTAGGCTCCATTTTTTCTGAGCGGCCCTCCTAATGCCAAAAAAGGTATGAAAAATCGGTCGAGGGATCGGTCCCGGCTGATGACAAAATTTTGCATTTCATGTTAGCGCATGTTAAATAACTCCAAATGTTACCGCCGATAAAAATAGGTACTGTTCTTACAATCAGGGTCATCATCAACCTTTCTGATTAGCTTTCTGCCCAGAATTGGGGCGAAAATTGTATGGCGCTAAAGCGGCGCCGAGTTGGTGCCCGAGGAAGGCTAAAATGGCGCAATATCGCGCCTCCATCGAAAAATGGACGTTCTTAACAAGCCGCAGTTTTAGAGAAGATCAAGATTTCGGCCCGAATTCAAAAATTGGGCCATGGGTTAGCCCATAGTCAGTACGGCATGCACGCTTCCCACTTGGAGACAGCTTCGAGATGATAGCAAGCGGCACGTTTGGTTGATAGTTACACTTCCACCGCAGTTCCTGCCCATGGGGCAATCTGGCATCACCCCTTGATCTCGTCGATGCATGGCGTATGCCTGGGTGGGCACTGGCTACGTCGACGAGCATCCTGGACGTTCCTCAACGCCGGCAATCTGCCTTCAAGGGAAATGGAGTAGGTGTTCCTTGCGAAGAAAATGACAACTTCACTTTTCTGGCGTTCGTTAGATGCAGTTGGTGTGATCCGCGCCTGTGATTCAGATGCTTCATTGAGTTTTACCATAACTGCTAGTTATTTATTGCTTGTAAACGGAATTTCGTACACAACTGAAAAAACATGGTACTACGAAATATCGCAGAATTGTGGGAGAAAGTTCTTGGAAATGACACCTATAGGCTTTAAGTTCACGCGCAAGCACATGTAAATGCAAAAAAGTGATAATCGGAAAAATGCAAAATCCGAGCATGGAGGGGAACCGAACCAACAACTTCGAACAAACCGTGCCAACCAGAGTCCATCACGCTATCCACTCGACCATCCGACCACCGCTGTACAATGAATGTCAACGACTCTGATGAAACTTCCTTGTGCTTTTGAGCACTTATTATATACAATTTTTGGTATTGGCTTTATTCCACGCTGTTTTCAACGTTCAGGTGAAGAAAACCTTCTATTGTGCGTCCACTTAACATAACGAGTGATATAAACCACGTTGAAGGTGTGAAAACTCCGATTTCTGAAGAAATTTTTTTCACTCCTTTTTTGGCATTCAGAGGGCCGCTCAGAAAAAATGGAGCCTAGTTTTGTACTCCATGCATGTGCCCCTTTATCATGCAAAAAACCGTTTTCAAAAAGGGCTCCATGTCCTGAAAGACCTTCCTGGTAAGAGCGCCCCTACCCACATGGTCGGCGTTGGCTTACAATTAAAGGCAGCGACTACGATAGGTTGTGAGGGGCTTATTGGAGACGTGTTGAAGCTCAGCGAAAAAAAAGAAGAGAAGTCAGTCAAGAAACGCAAAATGGGACCCCTTTTTTGGCTGTCGATTTTCACTCATGAACAGGTAACAGTCAGAAAAGCGGGATGTATAGACGAGTTCACGCACACAGTCGGTGACATCACCATGCTAAATCAAGCTCCAATGAAGTTGCTCCAGTTGCGTCGCTGCTGGCAGCCTACAGCTCGTCCAAATCACCAAAGTAAACTAGTGGGCGGATCGCTTTTGGGGTGCTTTCAAGTCCTGCTCATAAACCAGCGCACCTTTCGTCGTGAAAGCGCTACACCTCGCTTCTTCGGCAGCCAAGTAACTGCTTCTTGTGGTGCATGTGCTTCCCCGATGCGTTCACTCTTCCTCGCTCGCTTCCTTTAGGTCACTTTATACATTAAGTATGGCTTTTTTCAGACGTACTAGCAGAAACTGACTAGCAGAAATATTTCCTTCACGCAAGATCTTTGCATACTACCCAGCCTCTGTCAAAATAAGTAAAGCATTGGAAATGCTGCGGTTATCACATATCAAGTCGTGTCTGGAATATACAGCAAGCGGCCGAACGATAGAAGGGCGGTTGATATTTTGCACCCAAAAAGGTATAAACAGAACTGTGCCGAAAAATCCGCCACGCGACCGCGCGCTGAATCGTCTTGTATTGCAGACACGACTCATTTTTCCAGCATGACGATGTTTAGAAGTTTCAAAAGCATAGTACGGACACAACAACACAACAAAAAGATTTCCTTATATGACACCAAAACTTCTCCACAAGCCCAATGCAGTAAGCTCTTACTGCACTGGCGCTGAACAGGGCAATGCTATGCGGAAAACATGTCATATAATATTAATAATTGATCCACGGTAATCAAAATCATTATGCGAGTGTGAAAGCACCTTCAGACTGAACTTAGAAATCCATTACCCCATCCACATTTTTCTGTTTTGGTCGCAACCACGTCAAGAACGCAGATTCATTAGTCCTTTGCCAGCAAGACTTTCCACCCTGCAACACCTCGATCGAATCCACACGTGAGCAGATTGCAGTGGGGATGATCATCGGCCCAAGCAGCGCAGGAAACCATACGTGAGTGACACTGAAAATTTAGGACAATGTACGAACTCGAGATAATAAAAAAGGATAAAGCATTTGCCGTTGATCAATCCCGTCTTGGGATGCGGCACGCATTCTACTTCCATTTGTACATTTATGCGATGTGGCCTATACAATGACTTGCGGGGGCCAGCCGATGTACAAGTCAGTGTTTTTATCCTCCCAGACAAGTCTGGTACCAATTAACCGACCCCGGAGGGATGGAAGGCTTGGTTGGCCCGGGCGACTCACGACCCAGGATTTGATCCCCGGACCGCTCGCGTGGTAAGCGTGCCACTTGCCACTACACCACTTCCGCCCTGAAGTCAAGACAAGAACTATAAAATGTCACTTCGAGCTTACGCCGTCTCGAGAACCCCACCTTCTCGTAAGAAATTAGAACTAGATTCACTTGAGAGTAAGAGTTGGTGTCTAACCCTAGACCGCAAGAAAACGGCTGTCCGCTGAAAATTACTCCACTAGCTCAGCACGCATACCACTATTCTTATCCGCTTTTGTGAAGAAACTGGAATTCATCGTCAGTATTCAGCGAAATGTGCCAGTCATTCTTTTCAATAAACACGGTGAATCTCAGAAGTAAAACGTAAACTGTGCAAAGTTAACACCAACAATTAGCCTACTGGATGCTCGATCCACTTCTACGCTTTACACGGTCAAAGGGGATGATTCTGTGCGCACTTTGGTGTCTGGGTGAGAGATCATTGCTTAGGAAAGTGAGTGCTATAGTAGCATTAATGCGCAAACTCACCCGTCTGTTTGGAACTCTAGGTAGTCGATTTCCAGCCAAATCATAAATCCGTACGTGGCGATTATCAAGAGGAATGGCGATTGCGCCGTGAGTCCGGCTCACCTAAATATTTTTTCTTGCGATTGGAATTGTCAACAGATTAGAGATACATGGCCACATGTACCAACCGATAATCGATTTGCGGCTGATGATAGGCGAATCGTTGATATTGCGCTACGCATGTTACGTAGATCCCAAACCTGAGAAAAGAAAAGCCGTTGAATGGAATCTACTATGAAACCACACAACTATGTTCATCGCCCCGACAACAACAATCACTCCTTGATATCTCAATTCCGCTTAGACCGCTAGACTGGGAAGATATCTTCGTGAGATGGAAGGAGTGGGTGGCGTTTGAGAGTTACTTAGTTGGACACATTGAGATCTGGGAAGAAAGCAAGGAACGAACTAACGCAAAGACAGACGACATTAAGCCACAAAGTATTTACTCAAGTAATTTATATATGG